TTTAAAGTGATTTGACGGATTAAATTTCATCGGTCATTATATCTGCGGGGGATAAAAAGGGCAAAGAATTTTCCACTGCGCTGTGATTATTTGATGAAGCCACACCCTCTGCAGCTCTCCTTTTGCCGAACTATGAACAATTATTTGCCCGTTCCTTATGCGATTATTAAGGAAGTTTTGAGGGACGACTTTAAGGAATCTCACCGAATGTTGGGACTTGGTATTTCTCGCTCGCCTTACTCGAAGACCTTAGAAACATGACTTAACGCATTGGCTTTCTAGTGCCCTAAGTCAGGTCATGTCGGTTGGATCGAATTCTGTCTGAGTCTTTGTTTGGAATTCATGGAATGAGCCATTTTCGGCCAACAGATTTGTTTCTCTTTAGATAAGGTTATTTATGTCTCGAGATTGTTAACTGGAGGTGGGTGGACTAGTTGTGGCGAGTGCTATTTTTGCCTTCCTAGCGTATGGAACTAGGGTAGAATAAATTGGCCTGACACGCATCATGACCTCTTTTGTTGCTGTTATTGTTGCTTGAGCTGAATGTTTTTACTCAGTCAGACAAGTTCTTACCATAGTTTCCGGAAAGTTCCTGGAGGTGTTATACTTATTTCCCACCGCATGTTTGCTTTTCCTAGTGTTTTGTCTCAAAAATTTGTTTTTATTTGTGTTGTTCAATTTGGGTGCAGCAAATTCTAGACCGGCAGTAAGTTAATAAAGTAGGAGCTGCTAACCTCTTGGCTGTCGGAGGGCCGCCTAGGTTAAGTACATGCAAAGATGTTGTAGTGGGTTTCAGCAGGGCATAGCACTTTTCCCAGTGTTCGAGACCTTTTACACCGCTAAGGCGTCTTTGACTTCTCACTTTGTGATGAAGCGCTCCCTCCATGCGTTCTAGAATGCAACAAAAGTCGACTTCAAATAATCAATTTGACCTTTATGTATCGCCGAAGGAGTCCCCTTTACTTTGTGGTCAAAAGCTTTAATTCTCATTTCCAGGAGTTAATCTATAGTTCATTTAAGGGAAAATCCAGATGAAATGCAAACACTCTACTTATATTTTTAAGTAGCTAAACTAAAGTAGAGGTCTGCCTACCAAGTGGTGCATCTTCAAGTGGCTTCGCATCTCCCTGCAGCGAAACGATATTCAAATTAGAGGGTTTTTGAGGAGTCGAAA